CAAACACATGTTATTACAGATTTAGAAAATTTAAGGAATAAAGAGTAGACAACTCATGAAAGTGTCTGTAATAACACACGCAAGTTATTTTCTGTAATAACCCTATAGAGTTATATCTCTGACTGTATGAACTCCTTAAAAAAAATTAGAACCCCCCCTTTTTCAAACTTTTTGAACCCCCCCTTGGAGCATTAACCATCAAACTCAATCCCAGTCTTTTTTTGTAGTATGGAACCTTGTAGTACAATATTAGAGAGATCCATACACTTAAACATAAGTCATTGTCTGGAAACTTTAAAAATGCTTGTTTTTGGCTCCTTTTTTGCCCCTAATTCCTGCATGTTTGGGGCAATTACCCCCAAACTCAATCCCAGCCTTCCCTTTGTGATATGGAACCTTGTCATACAATGTCAAATTTCCAATGGAGTTTGCAACCATAAAAACCCGTTTAAATACATCATAAAAGTATTAAAATAGAAAATGACATCATAATCATGGCTAAAATTTAAAAACCATCATCAGCAACATTTAACAGTAATTATTAAAAATAAAATTCCTTCATCAGCATTTAATAGAAACTTCTAAAAATAAATTGACAGCTAGGACTTTGCAACCATTAAAACCCATTTAAATACATCATAAAAGTATTAAAACAGAAAATGACATCATATATAATCATGGCTAAAATTACAAAAATCTTCATCAGCAACATTTAATAGTAATATCTAAAAATAAAATTCCTTCATCAGCAACATTTTATAGTAATATCTAAAATTAAATTCCTTCATCAGCATTTAAAAGCTAATCACCTCAAGACAATACAACATTTATTTATACATAATTTAAAAGCAGTGTAAGGGAGGTATTTCAAACCATGTTGTGTTTGAATTACCTCCCTTACACTGCTTTTAAATTATGTTTTGTACTTAAGTTATTGTCCATTAACCAGGACACCCTTGTTTTTCCCCCTTTTTTGCCCCTAATTCCTAAACTGTTTGAGCCATAACCCCCCAAAGCCAATTTTTACCATCCCTTTGTGGTATGGAAACTTGTGGTATAATTTCAGAGAGATCCATACACCATTCAACAAGTTATTGTCTTGAAACTAGAAAACTGCTTATTTGGGCCCTTTTTTGGCCCCTAATTCCTAAACTGTTGGGACCATAACTCCCAAAATTTATCCCAACCTTCCTTTTGTGGTCATAAACCTTGTGTTTAAATTTCATAGATTTCTATTTACTTATACTAAAGTTATTGTGCGAAAACCAAATGTCTTCGGACGATGACGACATGATACCAATATACGACCGCGGTCATATAAAAATCATTTACATGATTACATGCAAGTCTTGTAAACAACAATATGTTGGTAAAAGCTAACGTCCTTTTTATTTAAAGCTCAAATCTTATAGGCAAACATCTCCAATATGTCAAAAACAAGTCATCAGAACCTACTGGTAAACATGTCAACCAGATCTGCATATTGACAGGAAATTTTTTTCTAAGAGTAATGCCCTTTGAACTTAGAATTTTGGCCTAAATATACTACTGCAACAGTTTGTCATCGCAACTCCTCTGAAACCACACAACAGAATTTCATGAAACTTTGTAGTTAATGAGGACATAATTTGTAAATGTTCATATATCCACAAGACAATTTTTATCAGTTGACTTTTGTAGAATGAGTCTTTGAACTTAGGAATCTGGTGAGATTTTGTTTGTCCAGTGACAATGTGGGGGTGTGGGGGTATATGAAGAGTGATCACAAAGGTTCTTTAATAATTAATGAATTAGTTCAACATTGCATTTTATACAAATATTCAGGAATATCATGTAAGCTATATGGGGGTTAAAAACAATGCAGTATTTTTTTTTAAAAAACCTTAATTGTCATTATCTATTATAAAGAAAATGCTTCAGGTGTAATTAATAATACTGCCAAATCATAGTAAATCACATCTGGTTGCATACAAAAAAGGGTAAAAAAACATTATTCCCTTGAATTAAAAAAATTTCTGAGTCATAAACAATATTTATATCTTGGGTGTTTAAAAGCACCATTTGTTTTTTATTTGATGTTTCTATAAAATATTTTGGAAACTTGAGGTTATATACAGTCAAGGATATTTATAACTCTATAGGGTTATAAGAGAAAAATAACATACATTTGTTATTGTGGACTAAAAAATCAAAGAACTGTGATAACATATGTATGTTACATGTTTCAAAGGGACAATATACATCATTAGTTTTGTTAAAATGTATACAAGTTCTATTGATATTACTATTGTCTTTTCATATATTTAATAATAGAAAGATATAACAGTTCATAGTTTGCCAATCATGCATAGTACACCTATGTTATTACAGAAAAAAATATGCCTATAATAACTAAAGGGTGTCATTACAGCTTCTCTACATCACTCCTAAGCATTTGCTCAGACATTCATCATGCTTAATTATAATGTATTTCAATTTATTGTAAGAAATAATGATCAGAGCATGTAATGAGGTTCTGCACAAGCTTCCTTGCAATTCCCAAGTGTCTCACATAACAAGTTACATGCCTTTAATAATTAAGCCTTGTTATTACAGCTTAGTTTATCCCTTAAAAGCCATATCTCATTGATTTACCATGGTTAATCAAAAATGTATTAATTTATTTCAAAAATTAGGTATCAAGGCTATGCATTTAGTTTCTGAGTAAAGTTTCAAGAGTTCCCTATATAGCTAGAGCCCACTAAAAATCAAAATAATTATGATTTAATTTACAAATAACAAACATATGTAATTACAGATTGAGAAAATTTAAGGATTAAAGAGTAGACAACTCATGAAAGTTAGTTATTTTCTGTAATAACCCTATAGAGTTATATCCTTGAATGTTGACTGTTATATGGTTACTATTAAAGCTTGTCATGCTTGTAAACAGATGAGAAAGGAGTGGAAATTTATTGCGATTGGTTATTACTGTTAACTTGTGATGGTTATCATCAAATGATCATCTTATATGCAATGAAATGTTATGTGAAATTTTGTCTGTAGTACTGAACAGGATAAAAGTACTTTACTCATGCCAAGTAGTTCTTAATTTGAAACAAATTAGTTTAATTCTGCACAATTTTTTAAAAGTGCAAATTTAACAAAGACTAATTAATAGCATGAATAGGGAAAACAATGGTGGTATTAAACCTTTGTTCTGATAACATGGATAAGACAGAATTATTTTTCCTAATGAAAAGTACTCATGAGAACTTGTATTAGTCTAATTACGCTTTAATAATTGTAACTAAGATATTGCCATTTTATAATATTGTGAAGAACAAAACACTTGAGTCACAATATTTGTCTATAATTGACGAAATGATGGAATCAGTATACTAGTAAGTTCAAATAGCATTTGCAAAGAGTCTTGCTAGCTAATGAGAGTTAATTTAAAGCCCTTTAAATATAATTATTAGCTGAATTAGGAATGTCCACGATATACATAATACAGCCTTTTAAGTCTTAGCTTCGTTGGATTTCATGCATGTTCAGGACAAGAACAAATTAAAAACTTGGCGTGTTGGTACACAACGAATGGACCTATCTGCTGGCAAATTTTACTACTAAAGCATGTTATTTCAGTAAAAATCAGCAGCAGGGGCGGGTCCAGGTGAAGACGTAATGGGCGTACGCCCCCCCTTTTCAAAAAAAAAAAAAAAAAGCTATCGTAAACTGCTAATATTGTATTGAATATGGCAATTTATCATATTCATTAATTATTTTATGTTTTGTAGCATAAAAAAAGGTCCAAAAATTTTTTTCGCCTTGCTCCGCTCCGCAAATTATTTCATTCTACACCCCCTCTTTCAAATATCCTAGAAAAGCCCATGAGCAGAGTGGTACCAAACATAAATTTGATCTGTAACACATCATAGTAGACTCACATACAAAAAATCAGCTCAATATGTGAAGGCACTCAAAAAAAGTCTATATATTAATTGTTGGTTGTGGAAAGACGGACAAGGGTAAATTTAAACTTTATAGTGTAAGCCCAACCACTTTGTGGCGGGGCCATAATGAATACTATAGGAAGATCCTGTATAAATAGAGGCCGTCCAGGAGAAATTTGAACTGCCATTTGAAAATGAGTGAATATAGGATGGGAACAGTAATTTTGCCTTGCAACAGCCCACCTACAGGGACTTATATAGTTGTTAACTTCTATGTTATTTTGGTGTAAAAATAATCAAACACCTGAATTGCATTTGATACTGTCCACTCAGTTACACTCTTTTGAACATCGCTGAATATAGTACATTTTGTTGTAAGTGCTCTCAACTAATGAAATTGTAGGATTTGATTCCTCTTAATCATGTTAATTGTGAAGAATGAATGTGAATCATGTTAAACTCTTAGTCATGTTAGTAAAGGATTATTCTATTACTTGGGTCGATTTACAGTTCAAAATAATCATTGGCCAAGAGTTACTATAAATGAGTAACAACTGCCCTGAAGCACATTTATCATGAAGAAAGGGAGCATCATTTTCTTACATATACATAGTTGTGTAGATATCTAGTACGTGTCTGTCTATTGTCCATGCAAATCAAGGACAATCAATGCAATGCAGTTGCTATCTGAGAGGGAGCATCTCAAAGATTTATCATAACTTTAATAGTTTATTTTTACACTTTCTGGAGGAAGAAACTAAATGCCCAGCAAAATCCGAAAAAGATTTTCTTCTGAAACACAATTCACAAATGCATTTAACTTTTATATATATCTAGTGCAGTAGTGGATGCTAGGCCTTAAAACTTTTCCAATTGGACAGATTAATCTGTACTCAGAATAGTTTTTGAGGTGTAAATACAGCCATTTTTGTCCATTTGTTATGAATAACCATAAACGGTACATATGACATTTTTTTATTTTAAAAAGGGGGGGGGTGTCAAACAGGTGTACATAGTTTTCAACAGGATAATAAATGCAGTCGTTTCTCGATGAACGTGGATTACCTTCGAATCTTTAGTTTTCAACGATGTTTTGTTCTTTATTTTTCTTTAACCACAAAAATCAATAAACAGACAGATGTCGCAAAAGAGGCTCCGCAAAATCGAACACCTAGAGCTGAAAATTCCTACTTTCGTTTTAACCGAAGGAAATCATGTCTACTCGGACCAAAGACAAGTCGGACCAACACCACTCAGACCAATTTAAAGTCATCTCAGACAACTTTTAACGACAAGAACCCCACTGGGAATAAGTTTCAATAACTTTTGTGGGTCCTACAGTGATAATATAGTCTATATAAATTTCACTCATTATAACCTAAGGAGGATTTGTTTTGGATCGGTTATTTATTTTTGAGGACTAAAAGGACAGATTATTTATTTTCTGCACTGTTGAAGCATGATTTTTCATTTTCATTAAAACAAGGGATTGATTATTTATTTTCACAATTATATTTATAATATTTAAAAACACACAATTTTTAAATTAATTTTTTTATTCTTAAATAAATAATACATGTATAGTCAAGTCATTATGTACCATCAAAGCAGAATTAATCCTCCTCCTCTTGACATGCTGGAAGTGAATCTTCTGAATTCCATACTGCATATATTGCATACGTACAAGGTATTAAAGCTTGGCTGTAACTAGCCTCTTTTAAAAGTAATGGCAAACATATTTGCGAGGCGAAAAAATTTCGGCGAAGGGTTTAGGGCCGCTGAAGGCCCCAAGAAGCTATAGTAAAATGATGCAAAATCATGCAATCTGCACGTTTCCCAGACCCTTTCGTAATCTGAAAAACAAGTTCTGTTTTAATTATTTTTTGGACAATATTAAAAGACCAATATGTAGGATAAATAAAAATAATAATGAATTATTTTATTGAAATGTCCGGTATTGATTAACAGTTGAACAATATACAATTAAACATATACAATATTTAAAATAATCAACACCCAGCCAAACAAATTGACTTATGAGACACTGTAAAAATATATTACAAAGTTATAAACATATATACTAATAACCATTTAAAAATCGCATTGAACTATTTCATCAATATTTTTCTTAAAATACTGGCTAAAAAAATTGAAGCTTTAAAAAAAAATAATAATAAAAATATGTGGTTGACAGAGCATTCCCATAATCGAATTTATAGAATAATTAAAAATACTAAACAAAATAAATTAGTTAATAAAAATATGCTGTTTACTTTTAAATATAAATTCTTTGATAAATGGTTGCTTAAACAAAGGTTTTAGATCAGATATCTAGATACAGTTTCCTTCGAGTGAAAAATGTGTGCAGTTGTTTACATAATAGTGACTAGATCGTATCACAATTCATAATTGCAATAAATTTATCGTCCATACTAATATTTTGAAAGTTATCAATATGTTTTGAAGCTTCATAAACATGTCACATCTTAAATCACTGTACCAGTCACATGTCATTAGAAAATGATTTTCGGTTTCAACTTCGCTTAAATTACAGAATTACAAAGTCTGTTTTGAACTGGTACTGGCGGCCTGGAGTCACGCCCTGTTTAAAGCGCTAACGGTAACGAACCCGCACAGAACATAGCCATAAGTCATAAAGCAAAAAATGTAAGTCACATAGTAAAGTATGTGGCTGCTGTTTTTTTAGTGGTGTTTTGGCTTGCAGAAAATCTTTCATACCTGTCAATTATTTTTTTTTTCAAATTAAGTTAATAAGAGGGGGCTGATTATCATTGATATAACTATGTCAGGTAAGTTTTTATAACACATTTCAATTACAACTTGATGTAGTTCCTAACTGGGATACAATTTAAAGAAGTTTGTAAAATTAGATAAAAAGTCCTTAAATAAAATAAAACCCAAGTTTAAAACAAAATTACTAAGTTACAAATGGAAAGTCTTTTTTCTGTTACCCAACACCAAGTATTATGAAATGTGACGTCTGACCAGACATCTGAAGTCTAAAACTGTTTGGACGGAATAAATAAAGACAGTTACTTAAATAATAACTACAGAAAATAATCATTTGTATTAATCAAATGTACATCAAAATATTTCACACAGTATACATGGTAAAGTCAGTAATTTCTTTATAGTCCAAGACTATTTATGATTTACCAGTTACAACTACATTTTTTTTAATTTAAAATACAGATGGGAAAATAACTCTTATATGCATGAAGTCTCCAGACCGCATTGGTCAAAATTATTCTTAAGATTCTGGAATATAACGAGCAAATTGGTGAAATAATTTTGTTGTAATCTTTAACGGTTGCTAAGGACATGAGCACACAAGAATAACAGTGTTAGGGGGAGGGTTGGGATCCCGCTAACATGTTTAACCCCACACATTATGTATGTATGTGCCTATCCCAAGCCAGGAGCCTGTAATTCAGTGGTTGTCGTTTGTTTATGTGTTACATATTTGTTTTTCGTTCATTTTTTGTACATAAATTAGGCCGTTAGTTTTCTCGTTTGAATTGTTTTACATTGTCATTTCGGGGCCTTTTATAGCTGACTGTGCGGTATGGGCTTTGCATATTGTTGAAGGCCGTACGGTGACCTATAGTTGTTAATTTCTGTGTCATTTGGTCACTTGTGGAGAGTTGTCTCATTGGCACTCATACCACATTTTCTTTTTTACATTTGGGGAGATAACTCTTACAATAAAAAATGTCCGGTTAATTAGGGTCAGTTTCAAAACCGCAATAACTTTTCGATATCATATGCAAAAAATCTAATCGACATCTTGCGTAACCATTAAACACCATCAGACAAAAAAGTGGCGGAAGAAGAAAGGAATAACAATAATCAGAACAAAATCAATAGGTCTTTCCTATGGCAAGCCGTTTTACTATTTATTCTAACTTTAAGATATCTCATGAACTTTATAAGATGTCTTATATTGTTTATAAGATATCTTATATAGTTTATGAGATATCTTATATAGTTTATGAGATGTCTTATATAATTTCTTTATAAGACATATAATTAATTATATAAGATATCTTATAATAAATATGATATATCTTATAAACTATATAAGATATCTAATAAAGTAGATGAGATAACTTATAAACTATATAAGATATCTAATAAAGTAGATGAGATATCTTATAAAGTATATAAGATATCCTATATAAGAAATATTTATAAGATGTCTTATAAACTTTAGGAGATATCTTATAAAGTATATAAGATATCTTATATAGTATATAAGATATCTTATATAGCATATAAGATATCTTATATAGCATATAAGATATCTTATATAGGATATTAGATATCTTAGGGACTTATCATTTTTTATCTGGGAGGGGGGGCTGGTCAAAATGCAGTGGGGATCAAGTTTTTTTCTGTATGTGGAAAAGGGGGGTTCAAATTTTTTATAAATTCAAAGTAGGAGGATCAATATTTTTTGCACATGGAAATTAGTAGTTCATATACTTCAAGAGACAAAATATCACGAAGAACATTATAAAACAGTCAAATCGAAAATATATCTTTAACACCATTCATATACAATTAAGTAAGACATCACAAGACTTTGGTGATGTAGGAAGCTGCCATTTTGTGTCATTTTGTCCCATATAAAATGCATAGGTGCTTCATAATCCGAATTATTCAGTCGTTATATTTCACTCACCTCGATCACTAAATTGACAAGCATTACTGCCAAGTTTTGTTATAATCAGCTTAATAGTTTGAGAGAAATTAAGTATAAATTAAAACGAAATCTGCATGCAGCGATTTGTGCAAAATTTTTTCCAAAAATACAAATCACGCCGCATCATGAAAGAATATAGTGTAGAGCAATATCTTCTCCAATAAATGATTAAATATTGCATAAAAACAGTTGAATATTGATACAAAAGATGATTCTGAGATGATGAACAACCCTTATGTATCTTTTTGTTTTCATTACAAGATCCCTTTGACTCCATTTATACATGTACCTCACACTCCCTCAAAATTTGTACTTTTTAGGCTAATAAATCTAAATTTTGAGGTTACTATCACACATTAATGAATGAAATGTGACAATAAATGAGTAATTGAATTGTTCAAGCTGAAATGAACTATCCATATAAAATTTTAGCGACTCAATGGAGGTTTCAATAAGGCCTTAAGTTTAAGCAGCGTTCAAGAGAGGGACATGTAATAGACCCCTCTTAGTAAATAATGTGTGTTGTTACTGTTTCGAAAAGTTAACTTTTTAATGTAAATTTTTACAGAGTTACTTAGGATCAAGTTTTCTTCCAATATAGGAAATTAGAAAAAAAGTCAGAATAAGCTACTCAAAGCACTGGCTTGCTCAATTTCTAATATTCATGGAAGAGTCCTATATCAAGGCAATTTTCCCTCAAATATGTTTTTGGACTCAATCCACTGAGAATATTTCATTTTCAATATGTTCGTGAAATAAAATGATAAGTGTTTTGCATGTTAAAATTTTGGCATGTTTAATAAAGGGGGGACCACATTTTTTAAATGTTTTCACAGGGGGGGGATCAAATAAAAATAGTGAAATATTATGGGGGGATCAAGAAATTTTGTATTTTTGATTTCAAAATGACCAGCCTCCCCTCCCAGGTAAAAAATGAGAAGTCCCTTATCTGATATCTAATATATTATATAAGATATCTTATATAGTTTATAAGATATCTCATAAAGTTTATAAGATGTCTTAATATATAGTTTATAAGATATCTTATATAATATATAAGATATCTCATATTCTCTAATTCTTCGTCAATTTATCCCTTTCTGCACCCATTGTATAAAAAAAATTTAATCAACGTGTGGTTCGTTTGATCTCAGTTCTTCATTGGTTAAAATCCGATTATGACGTCGAATTTTCTTGCTTTCCTCTGAATTTCCTATTGTGACGGCATGAAAAAAGGCGACCATGCCTGATGACGTCACATAGAAAGAACACATCTTTTTGCAGATCATTCGAAAAGAAGGAATAAATTTGCCTGCGTATTGTTTGAAAATCATTAGAGACACAGATTCCACCACCAAATCTCATGAATTTAAATACGATATTTATTCACTCTCGACAGTTAAATTTTAAATATTTAAAACGCTCGGCGAGCCTCGCGTTTTAAATTTGAAAATTTAACTGT